ATTAGTACTGTAGCGCTGTTCCACCCCAATTTTTTCTGTTACTGTATGTACATGCCTGATTTAACTGCTACCTGCAGACTGTTTAGATTTTGGGGTGAGCCCCCATTTCATTTGGTCTCTGCATAGGGGTGACCCCCCATTTATACACATTATCACTCAGTCTGTGTAGACACAATTACACTCTGCTGTGAGTTCATAAGGGGTGAACCCCTAGGTGTCATTTAAGATTGCTGTCATTGATACAGCCCCTGATTGGCCCGCTCTGTCTGTGCCCCCATACTTCCCCATGGGTATAGATATATAGGATTATATACTGGGTGAGACCAAGTTTTGGTGTGCATAACGGACGTAATGACATATATTTGATATATATAGAAGGCCTTGACATACATATTCTAATACTGGCCTATTCTGCCCCTTAGGTACCGCTTGCTATCACTATGGATACTACAAACCAGGAACAAAACCTGCAAGCTCTCATCAACGCGGCAGTTGCCACCTCACTCAAGAAGGCCCTGGCCTGGTTGCTGCCCTTAGAGCCCAAGGAAAAAATATTCACCAAACCCCCACTTTCTGCTGAAGATTCAGAGGGTTCTCCTCTAGATGGGATCAAACCAGATCTCACAAACGATATTGGAAAGGGGACTGACCAGAACCCCTCAACCATGAAGGCAAAGAGCCAGTAAAACGCCCCAAACACGCGGACACTAGGGAGAAACCCACTGCCCAGTCGGAAGAAGAGGAGGACTCCTTTACCCTTCCTCCTTTAGCTATCCTGGATGAATGGCAAGCAGACCACACATCAGAGGATGAGACAAACTGGCCAGAGGCATCCTATGGAGGGGTGCCCTTTACTCGAGAGGGCATGACTGACCCCACACTGGAAGATGTGGTCTTCAGACCAGCACCATCAGGGGCGGCAGAAACCTTCCAGACACACTAGGTCAACCGCTGTTTGACCCACGCCACATTAGATACCCCTGGTCATCGGAGTGGTCCCTACTGAACACATTTAGATCAGAAGGCCCCTGGATCGGGAGGTCCACAAGCGTTTAAAAGCAGAATTCCCGTGGCCTAACCTGCTGGACAGGGTCGCGATGACCCCAAAATTTGATATGCTGCTTTATACTTACTTGGCCAGGACTGGCCGTGACCCTAGAAAGGGTATTGAGGACAGCTTACGCCTAACCCAGGACAAGCTGCTGGACGTTCTTGGACCCCTAGCTAAAATCCTATTATTGGCTGATGAGGCCCTCTCTCAGGAGAGACCATTAGACCCATTTGTGATCAGGGAATGGGCGTTGCACTCCATATGCCTGCTGGGCAATGCAAACACATCCCTCTGTACAGAACGAAGGAAAGCAGGGCCCAGGGTCTTTTGTTTGGAGAGCCCGATAGAACTCCACAAACACGTAAATTTGTACGCCACATTGAACAAGGTGCAGTCATCTATGAGGAGAGTGTTCCACCAACACCCCACACAGGTTTTTCTAACCAAAGGTCGGATAGAGGCAGAGGAAGCAGAGCTAGAGGACGCAACAGATTTCTGACAGGTGACAGATTTTCCCCCTTTTACCTTTCTAGCTTATGTCATGTGGGCTGGTTATTTTATTGTTTAGACTTCAGATACCTGGATTCTGGATACGGTTCAGGGTCACCGCCATTGCCCGGTCATGTCGAAAACTCAACAAACCCTACTTGACACGTAGCTGCAATCCCTCCTCACAAAAGCAGCAGTACAATTCGCTCAGGACAACGGGGGCTTCTTCAGTTCTATCTTTCTAGTCCAGAAGAAATCAGGAGAATTCCACCCGGTCATCAATCTTCTTCAGCTGAACACCTTCGTGGTGTACAGACATTTCAAAATGGAGGGCATCCATCTTCTTCGAGACATACTACGGCCATGCAATTGGTTCACCAGACTCGACCTCAAGGATGCATATCTGTCTGTGCCGGTGCACCCAGCCACTCAACCTTTCCTCCACTTACTCTGTAAAAAACAGGCCTTACAATTCACACATCTACCATTCGGCCTCAGGTCCGCTCCGTGGTGCTTCACCAAACTGCTCAAACCAGTCACCGCACATCTTCGCACCAGGGGTATATGCTGCCTAATCTACTTCGACTACCTCTTACTGTTTTGCGTAGACATCTCCACTGTGATATCAGACAAGCTATACATCCTTATTACTCGAATTCTTAGGTTTTTTGTCAACCGGGAGAAGTCGGCACTTTTCCCATCCCAAATGGTTCAGTTCCTCTGCTTTGAAATCGATGTTTCCACCTGTGTCCTCCGCCTGCCACAATCAAAGTTATCGGCAATCTGAAAGGAGATACGCAAGGCTCTACGATGGGAAGATATTCCCCTACGAGGGTTGGCTCGGATCGTGGGCCTCCTCTCCGCCTCCATCCAGGCAATCTACCCAGGACCCCTACACTATGCACCATGCAACGCCTGAAGGCGCAATTTCTCTGGGTCCCACCGTCTTATGACCAGAGG